GTCGTCGTCGTCGTCGTCGTCGTCGTCGTCGTCGTCGTCGTCGTCGGCAACATCGTGAGGTTGACGCCTTTGGTGGGGGTGGGGGTGGGGGTGATGCTTATCGTCGGGACAACTGACGCGACGCACGCCCTCGCCCCCTGTCATCGAGCGCGGCCGGGGCGGTGAAGCGCTGACGCTGCCGCCGCCGCTGGGCCGCCTCCCGTCTTGCCTGACGGCACTACCGCCGGCCACCGCGGTAGCCACACGTGGAAGGCTCAACTGCGTCCCCTCAACCCGTGTGCGGAGCCCCGCGGCGTGCTGGGCCGCGCGCCGCCACGGCACACAGGGAAATGGCATCCCCAGGCCGCGGCCAGAGGTCAGCGCTCTCCGCCGCCACTCCGATGTCTGTCCCGCCGCCCTCCACGGCGTCGACCGGGTCATTTGCCTCCACACCCGGCAAGCGCCCGGCACGGCAGAGGTTCTGCGAAGGCTGGTAGGATGCCACAAGTGCGGCCCTCGTGCGGCCGGGGCCAACGCGGCGCCCCCTTTCCACGGTGTGGCGGCCGAGGCGTCTCTGCTGCGCCGCAGCCCCGGCTCCCGGCATCTCACAAAAAAAAATTTACGATTGCCAAAGCAGGGCCCAGTGTGTTCGCAGGTCCCCACCGCCCGGCTTGCCACAACCACGCAAAATAACCCACTCTCACCCTCTGTCCTGTCAGCGGACGTTGCGTTCTCGTCGTCTACATTACAGACGTGCCGGGCGTATATGACGCAGCGGGAGATGAGCTGCAGGGCACAGGTGGTGGGGTTGAGGGCAACAGCTGCCCGCATAAAAGACTGCAGACTCACGGAAATCTTTACATGCGCCCCCACCGCACCCCAATCGTCATCGTCGGAGGCGGTGGTCAAACTCAAGCGTGGTGTCGGACGCGAGGAGGAGATTTTGTCGCCGCGTGAGCGCTTATTGCACGGCGTCGCGCGCTTCAATTCCTCGCTGCCTCCAACCGTGTCGTTCTCGTCGTCGTCGGAGAGGTCTGAAAATGGGCTTTCTCCCCTTTCCTGCGACGTCGAATGTTGTCCGCCGAGGCGCGTTGGGTTTGGTGTAGAGCCCGAGCCGGGGCCGAGCCAGTCCCGCAGTACGAGGTCATCCATGCTCCTCTCCACGGCGACCTGGAGGTACTGCTGAAACAGCGCCATCACCACCGTGCGCCGGATCAGCTCCACCTGGCGCGCCGCATCGTCCTCCATCAGTCGGCACGCATGAAGCTGTGCAAGCAGCTTCGCACACACACGCGGACTGGACCTCGCATGTTCCTGCGGCGGCGGCGGCGGCGCAGCATTGATGCTGGGATTGCTCGGGCCGCGCGTCCCCAGCGGTGTGTGTTGCGCCAACCTCTCCTCTTGACCACCGCGGAGGGGGGGCTTTCGTAGCGCCCCACCGCCACGCGCTTGTGTCGCCTGCCGGGCCCTCGCTGAGACGGCGATGCTCTGCCACGCTGTGAGGAGTCTGTGCGGGATGTTCAGGATGCTCCTCACGTAGTCGTCCAGAAGCATCGCCGCGCTGCTGAGCTCCGCCAGCACGTACGACAGGACCTGAAGCCGCCTAGATGTGATGAGAACGTCGCTTGCCGCAGCGTCCAGCAGAAACCCAGCAGCCGGTGCACCGGCGGTCCACGGGCATCGTGACGATGTCAGCATGGCTGAGCAGCAGTAGGAGGGAAAAGGTAGACTGCCTGAAACCCCACGTCCCCACCCCTCCTAGCTAGAAGTGTGCCGCACGCTCTGCCCACCGGTACGGGGAGTAAGGTGCGGCGGCGGCGGGTAAAAGGGGACATGAGGCAAAGAGGATCAGAGAGAGAGAGAGAGATGCACGGCGCCTGCTCCAGGCAGCATGCACGTCCGGAGGAAGCGAAGAAAGGCATGGGCAAATAAAAAAAAAAGGACGAAACTCGTCCCAAGAGATTGTAATGGGCAGACGTATATATATATATATATACACGCTTAGTGGCCTCAGACGGGCGGCCCAGTCTGAGCGGAGGCCACGCGCTACGGCCCCGCGTCAGCGTCAGTTCTGTCGTGAAGGAAAAAATTTCGCGCTGCTCGGCGCCGCGAGTGCGCGGGGCCGCGCTCCGTGCGTATCCGTCGCCTGCGCGGGAGGGTTGCAGAGACCCACGCGCCAGCAGCGGCAACTCCCGGTTCGCAGTACACCAATGATTTCGTCTCGCCCACACATGCATCAACGCACGCTAATCGAAGTAGAAAAGAAATGCAAAGAGAAACACAGACGTGAGAGCCGCTCAAGGGCGCAGGAGACGGAAAGACACCCCCGCACACGCACACGAGCACCGTAGCAAGAAGACAGAGGAAGAGAGAAGAGGGGGTGGGGTAGCTGCGTGTCTTCACTTTGGCGCAGAGCCCTCCTCCTGCTACTGCTGCTGCTGCAGGGCCCTAAGCAGCCCCGCCACCTCCTCGCGCTGCCGCTTCACCTCTGCCCTGTCCGCGGCAACGTGCAGCTTGCCAATAATCTCACGCTTTGCCCGCATCAGGAGAAACGCCGGGAGCTCCTTTGTGGTGTCGCACTTCATGGCGCGCAGGACCTCCTTCGCGTTGTCCTCCATCGAGTGCTCCGACGCCACCGCGGCGGGGAGGAGAAAACTCGAGACGACGGTGAAGTAGAGGGTGAGGCCGAAGGTGAGGCCGACGGCAACGTTGAAGAGGGCGCCCTTGCGCTCGAGGTAGCGGTCCACCGCGACCTTCCTGCGGTAGTACTTGAAGTGCGCGCGGAAGGCGGGGTCGAGCAGGTTCCAGAAGACCACCGTGGCCCACTTCAGCCGCGCCGGGGACTCATACGCCATTGCACCTGACCGCCCACGCGATGCCCAACTGCGGGCAGCGAAGGGGGTAGAACAAAAAAAGGGGGAAAAAAGTGGATGAAAGAGAAGAGACGCGGCATTGGCAGCAGCAAAAAGGGGCAGGCAATGCGGCGCAGTCAAGGTCCCAGCGAAATTCGGACGAAGAAGAGAACATTTTTTGTCTTCGTCATCTGTGCGCGTCCACCTCCCGCTTTACTTTCGTATTTTTGGTTGACATCTTTTTTCTTCTTCTTCCTTTGTTTGTTACCTCCCACCCACTCCCGCCCTCTCGCACCCCACAAATCCACACACACACACATACTTACTCAGAGGAAGAGGCGCGCATTACTTGTTAAAACTTAGCCCTGCTTTAACACCATACATACATGTTTGCAATGCATGCATCCACAGGTTGAGAGAGTGGGCAGGGGGCGGGTTCAAGATCTCAAATCCGTCCTGTCCCGAAGAAAAGAAAAAAAAAAAAAGTGCCAGCGGGGTAAATGCTGCCTGTGGGCGTGTGTGTCTTCTGCCCGGCGCACTGACTACATGCACTACAAACACTACAGGTGTGGCTGTGTATCTCCGTGTGCACGTGTGTAGGGCGTAGCCAGGGAGGCACGGAATGTGACTTATGAACTGTGACGAGAAACAGGCAGAGTGGACGAGCCAAAGCTGCTCCATCACACGGAACCGCACATGAGGAGGAGGGGGAAAAAAAGGTTCGACAATAAGGTGACAAAAAAAAAAAGAGGGCCTTTCAGGTTTAAAGAGGGTCTAAACAATAGAAGCGGAGACAAGTAAAAAACAAAAACAAAACACACACACACACATTAATACATATACTGCGTATGTAGTTATTGCGTTTACCTTGCATGTATATTAAAACTATGAAAAAAAAAAGGAGGGAAGGGGGGCAAAAGGAAATCTTTTCTGTATCAGCGCTTGTGGGCAATGAATGTATATGTCTGTAAGCATTCATTGGGAGAGAGGGAAAGAGAAATGTGGAAGGCCCACATATACACACATACACATTTGTGTGCAGTGGAGTGCCCAAACGCCTGTGTTCAACTTGAATTTCTTCTTCTTTTAGTTTCCCCTTTTGGGTACTTCCTCCTCCTCCTATTAACGCCGTTCGTCTACCGCTCTCTTTATCGCGCTTTATGTCCATCAGCTTTGCCACCGGCCCCAGGCCTCTCCGCTTCCTCCCTGCGCCACCCACCGCAAAGCGTTACTCGCCTCCACTCCCCACGACCACTTCTTCTTTTCTCATCCTCCACTGTGTGTATGTGTGTGCTTCTTTTCTTTTCTTTTCTTTTTTTGATTCGTTGTCTTTTTCTTCTTCTTCCTGCGTGGTGAGCCTCTGTCCCTTTGCATGTTACTGCTTCGCCCCCCTGCGTGCCGCTTCTGCTGCTTTGCCTGCGTTCTCTTCCGTGTCGGCGGCGGCGGCGGTGGCTGAGTGCTCCTCCTCCTCCTCCTCCTCTGCGGCTTCTCCGTGAGCTCCTGCGGCTCCGCGGGCGTCTCATCAGCCATCGCCGGCGCGGTATCGGCGGTGTCCTCCTCGTTGGAAGTGGCGCCCGCTCCACCGGTGTTGGCGAGGCCCGCGGCGGCGTCGGGCGGCGGCAGGCGGAAGTAGTCCAGCAGCATCTGCACGCCAAACCCTGGCGCCCCGGCGGGCTGAAACCCCTTCGGCTTGTCCCCGCCCATCGCTGCCCCCGCAATGTCCAGGTGGGCCCACTTCACGCCGTCCTCGATGAAGTTGCTCAGGAAGGCGGCGGCCGTGCAGGAGCCCGCCTCCCTGCCGGTGGACACGTTCTTGAGGTCCGCGAGACCGCCCTTCACCGCCTTTTTGTGCTCCTCGGCGACCGGCATCGGCCACAGCTCGTCCCCGCTGCTGCGTCCGCCCGCCATGAGGTGCTGGGACAGCTGGAGGTCGTTGCTAAACATCCCCGCACGTCGGCTTCCCAGGCCAATGAGAACGGCCCCGGTAAGGGTGGCGAGGTCGATCACGGTGCCCGGCCTCTTCGTCAGCTTGGCGTCCCGCTGAACGAAGGTGAGGGTATCGGCGAGGACGAGGCGGCCCTCCGCGTCGGTGTTAAGCACCTCGACCGTCAGTCCCTTGCGGCTTGTGAGGATGGAGGAGGGGAAATAGCTGTCCGGGCCAATGGCGTTCTCCACGAGGCCGACGGCGCCCACCACGTTCACCGGCAACCGGAGCAACGCGATGGCCTTGATGGTGGAGATCACCGTCGCGGCGCCCATCATGTCCAAATGCATGGTCTCCATCGAGCCATACGGCTTGACATTCAGGCCACCGCAGTCAAATGTCACCCCTTTTCCAACAAGGGCAGTTGCCTCTTCGCTATACCGGTTCCCGGTGTATTCAAAGACGACCAGGTACGGCTCATGCCGTGAGCCCTTCCCTACATTGTACAGGAGGTTTAGCCCAGCGTTGCGCAGCTTTTCTCCCTTCAGCATGTGACGCACCTTCACGCCAAGTGGGGCAAGCTCCTTCGCGATCCACTCGGCGTACAGCTGTGGAATACCCTCGTCCTCACGCAGGTTGCCCAGGCTGCGTGCCTCGTTGACGCAGCCGCCGATGACGTTGCCGCGGGTGATGGCGTCGGTGGCGTCCGAGTCAATGAAAAGACCCATGGGTGCTTTGCCGCCCTCCTCGGCGCCCTGCCTGGTGCGCAGGCGATCGTATTTGTAGGCCGCCGTCACGGCGAAGGCGGTCGTCTTCTCCACAACGTCGCCCGCCGGCAGGACGCCGGGCTCCTGGAAGAGGTCCCCCATGGAATGCACGCTGCTTGGCAACGACTTGAGCACCAGCGCAGAGGCCTGCAGCTTTTGCGCCTCTCGCACCGCGCTCGTCACCGCCAGGCGGTAGTCACGCACGGTGGGCTTCGTCCCAAGTCCCGCAAAAAGGCACCGCCGCTCTGAGTCCAGTGCGACACGGCCCGCCTCGTTCTTGAAGCCAAACGGCAGCCCCTCCGCCGCCTGCTCGGGCGACGCAAACTCCACGGAAAGCACGCGGGCGCTATCCATCTCCGCAGTGGCGTTCTTCCTGCCCCGCCCACTGACACGCTCAGCGCCGCGCGAGGACCAGGGCAGGGCCGCCAGCGAAACTGGAAGCGGTGCTCTCGAAGCGACTCGCTTGAGCATGATCCTTGTGAATGCGTCTCTCTCTCTGTGTGTGTATGCCGTGTGGCTGTCTCTTGTGGGGTTATCCCACCTATCTGCTTCCCTTTACCGGCTTAAAAGACGTTGTCCAACGGTGCGCGTGCCTCCCTCCTTGAGCTTATTTACGTTTCTCTCCTTTTTCCTTTTTTACTTCTTTCTTTTTACTGTGTGAGTGTGTGTGTGTGCGTGGAGGCCGATGCGCAGTCCAGCAGCGGGGAAGGGCGCAGTAAAAAGCGAGAGGAAGAGAGAGAAAGAGGAAGAGGTCCCACTCGGTGTGTTGGTTAGCGAGAGGCTAACGGCATTGCACACACGACAACATTTGCTAGCGCCCCCCTCCCCCCCCCCTGCTCAGCCCCCTCCCTTGCGTGCGTGTCTATCTGAGAAGCGGCGCTCACGCGGAGTGCTCATATTTACTGACCCTGGGACGGTCTCTGCCGTGACTTTGACGCACGGACGCCTTACGTGCACACCTGCGCCGATGACGCTGCCTTGCGCTGCAGCGGAGATGGCTGCGGTGGCGACGCCTCTTGGAGTGAAAGTCCCCACCCCCCACCCACCCACCCACACACACACACAGCGTAGCAACGGGAGCCGCGGCAGTGCGTAACAAATACAAGAAAAAACAAATACCAGTTTACTTTGCGTGGGTTCGCCCCCCGGCGGGAAACAATCATCTATAGCGCTCCAATGCGTGTATATAAATTTATCTATACATCTATATATAAGTACAATGAGGTACAAATGTGACGAAGAGGGAGGAGGAGGAGGAAGCATTTACCGCGGAAGCACAAGTGAGGCTTCGGAGGCGCAGCGTCCCCTCTTCGACTACCATTTGGTCCGCTGGATTCTTCCTCCACGGCCCCCGAGGGACTCCGTCACGAAGAAGAAACCCGTCACACAAGCCCACAGCGAAGAAGAAAGAGAGAAGGGGGGGGATGGGATAAGTTTTTTTTTACTTTGTAGAAAAGCCGCGACTAAAGCGCTCGCCAAAGCGGTACCCTGTCACAGCGGAATTGGCGGCAGGGTCCACCACAGGGATGAACGTCCGCGCCGTCAAGACGACCTGCTCCGTCCGCAGCAGCGTCACGTGAATGGGTTGATTCTCCCTGTATATGTGCGTGCCCAACGCCACAGCCTTTTGGTGGCTCCTGGGGAGCTGCACCGCGCCGTTCAGGCCAATCCCTGCCATGTGTATCGCCGTGGTGGCGGTGTCCGGCTGCGCGGGCTCGGTGCCGTCCAGCGTGTAGCAGACAATGCCACCCGCCGGGGGGTCCTCAAAGAAGACCACCATCTCCTTGCACCGGACGCAGATAAACGGCGGGGGAAGGCCGCCGCCTGCGTCCTCCTCGCGTGGCCCGCGATTCCACGACGTGGCTCGGGTGCAGTCGTAGACGGCGGCCGAGCTGCGTGCTCTCTGGTGACCGCGCTGATCCGTGCTGGGGTCGAGGAGGTCGTTTCCGTGGTTGTCCCCCTTAACCGTCCAGGCGTACACAAAGGCCACGTCCTCCCTTAACGGTATCGGCACCCCCGCATACACAACCCCCTTCCTACGCGAAAACTTAGCCTTCTGCCTGGCCTCCCCAATGTACACAAGCTGATAAATGATTTGGGTGTTTGGCGGGCGTCTGGACTCGTCAAAGTAGAGCTCCGCCTCCACGGCGCGGATTCGTGCCACGGGAGCCGGTATGTTTGGATCCAGAAAGGAGTGGCCCGCCCTATACACGGTGAGGCAGGCCTCCGTGATGTCGCTCGTTAGCGAGCCGTCGTGGGCCGCGACGGTGAGCGCGCGCACCACCACCGGCGTCCCCCCGCCCGCGTCCTCCGCGTTGAAGGGCGGAAGCGAGAGGGTGAAGGGGCCCGTGTAGAGCAGCGAGGGGTGCGCGCCATCGACGCTGTAGCGGACCTGATCCGGCGTAGTGCTGCCCTCGTTGAGGGCGATGGTGATGGGCGTGAAGGTCGTCACCTCCCCCTTCTCGGGGATAATGCGGGGCGGCAGTGGCCGTGTGGGGCAACCCGGCGCGGCAAACGACGGGCTCGCGCGTCCGTCGCGCTGGATGGTGACGCTCACCTGCTGCGGCTCCTGCGCCTCCACGCGTGGGGCGGCCCGCCCCTCCTCCACAACCTCGAAGCAGAACTGGTGCACGGAGCCCACAACCCGCAGTGTGGGGTAGACAGCGTAGGCGTAGATCGCGTAGCTGCCAGGGTCTATGAATTCCAGCGGCTCGGTGTACAGCATGAAGTGTTCACCGTAGCACTCATCCGTGCCGAGGAGCCGCGCAGTGTGGCCAGCGCCAGGGCCGCCGCTTGTCGCGGTCGCAGGGCCCGGCATGTACTGCACATCCAAGAGAATATCGCACGGCTGCTGCTGCAGGCACTGCAACTTTACCTCTAGCGGGGACTGGTGCACGCCAGGGGCAGGCGAGCACGACAACTCAAAGGCGTGGCGGCGCGTGAATCCGGGGTACATGTGGTACTTCCCGGGCACACTGCGGCGGCGGAGCTGGCAGCAGTAGTAAATCAGCACCGCCACAATCAGCAGCAGCAACAGACCGCAGATGCCAAGGATTGGCACCACCACAGCGGGTCCAATAGAAACCATTGTGTCCTTCCTTATGTTTTTTTTGGTTGGTTGGTTTCAGTTTTCCTTTTTGAATGTACCCTTTTGTCACCTCCCAAGTTTTTTTTTCCCCCCCGTTTTGCCTATAAACGCCGCTACTGCCAGAGTGGAAGCGGCCGCTCTGCACTGTCTGTGTGCACGTGTGCTGCCGCCGAGCTGGGCGCTGCCGCGGCAGACGTGTGTCTGTTGTGTGCTCACCGAACCCTCTTCCTGCTGCTGCGGGAAAAGTGGGGGGAAGCTGCCGTCCGCGCAACCCGTCACGCACAGAGACTGAGGAAGAAAGAGAGAGAGAGAAAGAAAGAGAGAGAAGAAAGAAAGAAAGAAAGAAAGGTAGAAACGTTTCAACACCGGCGTGCGCCACATGTCTCACGGCTCGTGACGCCCGGGTGGCATCCCTCGCCCACCCACCCATCCACCCCCCAAGCAGCGGCGTGTGTGGCAGTGTTTGCAGGCACGCCGTGGACGCGTCACCCGAAAGCCAAAGCACACGCACAATGAAAACACTACGAATACAAGAACAACAACAACAATAAGCCAAGGAGGGAAAGAGGCAGAAATTTCGTTCTGGTACGTGTGTGTACGTATATATGCATATAAATACATACATACATATATGCATATAAACCGTAACTGCAGCTCTGCCCACGCAAACGCACCGCAAGATGTAAACACCTACGCATACACATACACACACGCAGAAGTACATAAACATTGGTATAAATATATAACTAACAGCTATAAATCTTCTTCGATGGCTCAGCGTGGCGGCGGGGTATCACTGACTAGCAGCAATCGTCGCTTTCGCATAGCTAGCAGTCGCTCCTGCACAACCACCTTCTCAATGGCGTCCCTAACGCGTTGCGGGATGCTCAGCTTTGCCGCCACGTGCGAGACGCGGAGGCGCTCCGACTCACTGTACTCGCCGTCATCGGCGCAGGCGCACACGGCGTCGTAAAGCAGCACGCGGGCCAACGCCGCCGGAATAACCGGCCCTGAAAGAAACGCCGTCATATTTTCCGACAGTTGGGACGCCCCACCACCGCCCCGCGCGCCCGCGGTTGTCCCGGCGTGGGCCGCTGCCGTGCGCAGCGGCACCGTGTCCACAAACTGCATGAGCTCTAACCGTATCCGCGCGTCCTCCTCCCCGTTGAGGGGGAGAAGGTGCTCAATGAGGCCATGCACGTACTCCCGGCTCGGCTCCCGCTTCTCCTGCCCCGAGACGCAGAACAGGAGCGTCTTCACGTAGGCGTAGGGCAGGCTGCAGACCCCGACGTGGGGGCTGTACTTCGACCCGTACAGCGTGTCCAGGAGGAAGATGCAGCCGACGACGGAGACGTACGGGCCGCAGAGTCCCCGTGTCAGGCGCAGCATTGCGGGGAAAGGCAAGACCCGAAGAATAACAAAAAAAAACACACACACGCACGCACGCAAACGAAAACCTCAACGACTACACGAAAAAAAAAAGAAAAAAAAACTGAAGGAGCCTAAACGTTCCACTTCGTCCGATGCCTACAACCACCAGGCGCCCTTCGCGCCTCGCTTGGCGCCGCCCGCGGCAGAAACAAAAAAAAAAAAAGGCGGTGGGGAGAAACGCGGCCCCCACGCCCCACGCCTACGCTGCTGTCCCTTCGCCTACTTTTGGCTGCTGGGCGCGGCCCACGCCCCTTCTCCCCTCGTCCCTTCCGCTCCTCGCGCCTCACGCACTTGGCACGCGCAGGCACAACCGCAGAAGAACAAAAAAAAAGGTGGGAGGAGGAGAAAACACGCCGTGGCGGAGACGCAGACAACACACACACGCACGCAGCAAAATAAAAATAAAAATCCCGGCTCGCTTCTCCCGCAACGCCGCCCTGCGGCGGGACCGTGTGGGACAAATGGCGGGGCTTTCAAAGGCGCGTGAGCGGCGGTCGCAGAGTGTTATTGTATGAGCGCAGGCGACGCCAAGTACGGGGCGGGGAAAACAGCAAGAACAACAAGTAGCCCACAGGAGCAAAAAGAACAAAAAAAAAAATTTAGATACTCAAATACCT